TACTTTCATTTTTCATATATCTGTCAAGCAATTTTTATTGACATGGTGGAAAGCAAGTTCAATAAAATATCCGACTTTACAGAAGATTGCATTTTCATTTGGGATACTGTTTGTTCAATTGGCTTGGTATTGTGTTTTGTTTTTATTGACTTTTGTTCATAATTTTTTTTTTCAATTTGACGGTTGTAATTTGGACTTATAAAAAATAATTTATTTTCGTGATTATTAACCGAACCGAGATATGAACTGAGCCGAACCGAACCGACTTACGTGGTTATGGTGCAATTAAAGTATGACAAAAGATTTGGTGGTGCGGTTATGATTTTGGATGTATTGACCCCGAACCGAACTGTTGCCATCTCTAGCGAGCTCGTTGATATACACANTAGAAGAGACATCTAGTGATGACGAATAAAAATAAGAATAAAACTAGTTTCCAAAAAATATAAAGTATGAGGACTTAATTTACAATAACAAAACATTTCATTAAGGGCAAAATTGACTTTTACACGAAAAACCCAAATGGGTCATTTGACCCGGCTATTTTGAAAAATCCCCCTATGTTTTGCAGGGGTCTGATTTTGTCCCATGGTATAATTGACCATTCATGCTTTCTAGATAAAAATAAATTAGATCTTTTCCTCTCATGGGAACATAGTTTTACACATAGAGGGACCATAAAAGGTTGATTAATGTAATACATAAATTAAATCAAATTAAACATTTTTCTGGAGACTTTTTTATTAGCTTATAATCAAAATTTTAAGATTCCTGAAAAAAAGAAAAAGAAATAAATAAATAAGTCCTACTTTAAAAAAAAAAAAAAACAACTCTTCCTATGTACAACGTTAACAAAATATTGTGCACATACATGAAATATGGTACAGTACAACAATACGAGAACGAATGTTCTCATGGTCAACACACTACATAGTACATAGAAACATGGTATGGTACAACAATGCGGGAACAAATATACCCACAGTCGACACACTTTATAGTAGAAACATTTATACATAATAATTAGTCGAGTAGAAGATAGAAATTAATGTAGAGAATTAGAAGCTGGCTGTAAAGTCCATGGCATCTGGTTATGGACGATATTACAATCAGGGCTCTGGTGATTATGTATTCCTTCATAGGTTGTTATCACATAATTTGGGTCATCCCTATCCCTTTCTACCCTTTTCTTCACACTGCATCCTTCACTTGTACATTTGAAGTAATTCCTGTAAATATTCACGTATAGACTTCATTATTATAAAAAAATGTTGGTATTGGCTTCTTGTGTATGGACTGAACGGTGATAAAGAATATGCGGATAACATCATATATACAGTACTTAGCAAGGCCATGCCAATTCTCGGCGGCTAAGATTAATGAATGGATAATGCCAAGCGAAAGTCAAAGAGTAATTCTTGTCCAATATGTAAGCTGGTTGCATGAAACTCATGAAACATGATAATACAACTCACATGCCATATCTTGCTCAATCATGCATGCTGTGCAATCATAGATGACAATTTTGTTGACAACATATCACGCGTCATGAAAAATAACTTGTTTTTGCAATCAACAATTTTTTGGCAACTTATACATTGTCAACCACGTTGTCATCCATGGATGTACAAATAGATTAATCCTGTATTGCAGGATTTGACCTTTTTTTATTGATATATGAAAAATAATAATAATATATATTCAGTAGTCCATTGTCGTCCAGCGGTTAGGATATCTGGCTTTCACCAAGGGGACTCGGGTTCGATTCCCGGCAATGGAACCTTTTTCTTATCAAAAAAATAATATTCAGTACCAATGGTGCTAAAGTACCAATTTAGGTGGTCATACTTGCACCATGTTTGATACACATTCTTCTAACATACATTTTTTTTTATCTCTCTTCTTACAACCACACAATCTTCAATAAAATAATAGTACATACAAATTCAAAATTTTTCTTTATTTTTTAACCACATATTTTTCATCAAAACACTATTTAAATGCATTCTTGGAAGAATAATGTGACTCAAACAGAGTGTTAATAAGTCCATTAAAGTAATCATTTGACTTTGCATTTAAATAAATTTATCATTTAGTTTCATCAAGTTGCCACTTAGACAGCTGATAAGTACCAGTTGGACCGAATAGCATGACTGATAAGTGTAGTTTATACATTTATTCGTGGCTCTAAATTATGATAATTTATTGTCTTTTGGATTAAATTCAACCTAATTTATGTTATATTGTGTTTTGTAAGTAAAATTTTATGTTTAATGAAAAATTGAAGAAAAAAATGTAAAAGTTGCAAAAAATGACAAAATTTAAAGATGAAATTTTGGAGAGAAATATTACATTAAATGAGTTCAAGTTAAATGAGCCTCAAAACACTTGCATTGAAAATTAATTGAAGGCCCAAATTAAATCAATATATATTTAAACCTACTTATTATAATATATACCTAGACGGATTCACGCAGAAAAGGAGAAAGGCAGGAGAGAGATCAGAGGAGGATAGAAACAAAAACAAAAAAGAATTGCGGCAGCCACAGAAAAGAAAGAAAAAAGAGAAAGAAAACGGAAAGAGAGAATAGAAAAGAAAAGGGGAAAAGTCAAACGAAGGAAAAAAAAAAGGGCAGGGTGGAGGAAGAAAGAAAAAGAAGAGAAAAAGAAAATGAAAATGAAAATGAAATAAAGAAAACTGCAAACAACAGAAATTTTTATGTTTCGTCAATTTTTGATATTATCTTTCTACTTTTGTGCATTTTTTATTATTACAGTATAAATAACTAATTTTTATGTTAAGGAAAACAATTTAGTGGACCTGTGATCCTTCATTTTTTTTATTCAAGATTTTTGTGATTTATTTATTTATAAGTCATAAAATATAGTTCTCGTGGGAACGATAATCCGGACTCAAAAGTACACTATATTACTTGTTACGATATCGTACACTTACGATATAAAAAACGCAACAATGACTCGTAAAAAAGATAATTTGACACAATAGAAGCAACAAGGAGAAATAGTTATATACTCCATTGATAGGATAGGGTAGGATAGGATAGTAACACAATGTGTACCATCGATCGACATTTCATAGGGTGGCATGCAATAGCCTCGGGGTAAATTTTTTTTTTTTTTTTTTATATTATGAAAATATATTGGGTACTAATCATGTATAAGGTTATTTTAATATTTCGAATTTTTTAGAAGGCCGTTTTGGAGGAGATATATCACTATTGTAATTCTCCATTCTTATTATGATTGTGATAATTTGTAGGGCCGAGCAGGTGCGGATTTTAGAAAGAAATTCTAAGGTGGCCTACAATTTGAAGTTTCCTTAAGTATGGATTTTCTATGGTTTAAAATAATTGGGCAAATTTTATGAATTTGAAAAAGGAAAAATTGGACAACACTATTGTAAAGAGAGGGTCCCGTCTCAAGAGATAAGTAGACGCTTTCACATTGAAAATGAACTAGTATTATATTTTCTCATCTTTTAATTGGAATTAGGTTCTAATACATGACATGTAAAGGAAGAATTTGAATCTTTACATGTTATCATATCCCTACGCGACACCGAAGGGAAGAAGACACAACACGGTTCTAAAATTGGAAATACGTACGCAACTCTCCTTCACGTATTTTTTTTTTCTTTACGTATACTATATCATTTATTAATATATACTTGCTTGATCATATATGGAAGAATATCATTTCCTCTAGAAATTCTACACAAATTGATGTGACTTTTTTTGTGATCTTGATCGATTAAGTTCGATCTCATTACATCTATTAGTGAAATCTATTCAATGATCATTTATCATCACCATCTCACCCTATCAACGGCAAAAGTATCAGTCATCTTGATTCAATTTCAATCTCGTAGTAAAAGAGATTAAGGATTGTTCACTATTAAAACAAAGCTCCTTGATTTAATGATCCCAATATTCTAATACTGTGTAAATTAAGGGACCTAACCTCCTCCTCGAAGGCCCTGTACTGTTTCTCTTTGTCGACAGTGTCCTGTTGAAATCAAATAGCATGCTACGCACCTTCAACAATGGGAAAGGTAAGGTACTGATTTATTATTTCAAAGGCTGATGAATACCATCTAATAAAGATAGATAACCTATTGGACTGAACGAGGGGATGATTCTCAATGATAGAAGGTTGTAGTACTAAATCACTGGAATAATCCAATAGTCAGGAATTGGCCTAGAAGTGCATACTACTACACTACACTATGCTTGAGTCCAAACATTTAAAAAACTAATCCATGTCTAGTGCTTGGCAGAGCTAGGGGAGCTTCAATCACTACTCTTTATCTCCACTTTGTCCAGGCTAACGAGCCTTATTCAAGGAGGAGATTGGAGCCTCTAAAAGTACTGTTGAGAGGAAGTACCTTGACCCCTCTTCATTCTCTACACGGTTCCAAACATTTATTCAACATAGGTGACAACGAGTGAGGTAGAGATGGAAGAGATCAAACACGAAAATAAAAAGAGTAAAATCGGCACACATCAAGTGGTATCATAGCCTAACATATGCTCGGTACTGGAAGGTCGAAAGGAGAAGTATTAATTTCTTTAAACGAAAATCTCGACTAACGGCAACATTAACTATAACATCTTATCACATATCATTAATAATTTTGAAAGAGAGGCATCTATCTTAGCAAAGATTAATTTCAAATTTGAACTACTGAATGTTTTCATTTTATCCACCTAGAAAAAAAAAATGATATCTATTTATATGTCTAAGAAAATGCTTGATGTATTCTTTTTCTTCCTTTTTTTTTTTTATTTTTTTTTTTTTTCTGGAAATCATCTTAATATATTTAACTATATTTATTTAGTAATTATAATTATCTTTGGGATGATGAGAGAAGTCTTGAGAGAGATGAAACTTTTCCACTGGTAAATACAAAACCAATAATTATTATTAACACCAGATCTTGGGAGAAAAGAAAAAGGAAATATGGTGACTTAGAACTAATTTTAACTTCCGAAATGTATGGAACGATTCGGGCTGTTCTTGACCATCTTTTTCCCATATTTTCTCCATTTAAATCCATCATCCATAATTTCCAGCTTTGATTTTGTTCTAAATGCAAACCTAAACTCATCTTTTGACTGGCACTTCTCCTCGTTTCTTCTGCACAAATACATGACCGATAAACGCCCATTATTCACTATTTCTTGGTAGATAATTAAGATCCAATATTTTAGAAGATAAAGAAAATTAATCTAAGGTGCAATAGAACTTGCATGTTACTATCTAATGGAGTTGATGAACTCGAAGATCCAGTGAAGCTGCTTTCCACATTCTCAGATCTTTTTGTCATATCTTCTTCGAACGCACCATCAAATGCGAAATAATCCGAGAATTCGAAATCGAGAAATTCATTAAGCTGGTCAGTAGTAGCACTGTATGTGATTTGATTAGGGTTAGGGTTAGGGTTTTGGTAAGGAGAAGTAGCGTTCATTGCGGTGCTGAAAGAGGACATGTTTGATAGTGTGGAAAAATGCTTGTGGAAAAATGATTCCCTACGACAGGCGTGCCTTTCCTTATATACTTTTCAACTTTATTTTTTTGCTTGAAGCTTCATTTACCCTTTCCTAGTGGCATACCATGAAGGTGCTTTAGATGACACGTGCATGGTGACCTCATATATATTATTGTTTTAATGGGCCTCAAATTTCAGTCCCTGATTGGTTTTGTAGTAAATTTTAATAAAAATTGATGAATTGTGTAGGTGAACCGTTTATAGAAGGTGGATCTCACGAAATATGTGATTGAAAAATGGATAAAAGTTGTGGATCTCGTAAAGTTCGTAGTTGAAAATGAATTTGCGAATAAATAAGTTTTAAGAAATTAGGATCAAACATGATACTTATAATATGATATCTCCATGCATATGGACTAGAAAAAAAAAAGAAACGGTAAATATGTATGTGTGTATATACGAAAAGTTGGAGCAAAACTTTTCAGCTTAGTCTCCAACCATTAATTCTTGACGTTTATATACACAATCGAGGTAGTACCGTGAGCCATATTCGAGACCGTAATGACATTTACATGTCTAATTCTTAAAAGGTGGTACAAACTTTATCTGTATGAAAGTAAATTAGAAGGAGAGGAGAAAAAGGGCAACGTCATGACCGGTAGAGAAAGTGATATGTTGCAAGAAAGTGCAGAGAAACGTCGTTGGCTGCTAAAAATGACCAAACTAAGAAGTTTCTCTAGTCTTGCAAAAAGTATCACTACTTTGTCAATATTCAGATACATTATCTTAACAATAGTTCGCTATATAAAAAAAAAAAAAAAATGGCTTCGGCGACGGAAATAATTACAATAGAGAAATAACAATTTTTTTTCTTTTATTTTTATTTTTAATCATTTATAATTTCGTATTTCCAATTCAGTGGACGAAAATATGCCTTAAAAGTCTAAATAGCGTGTTTTGAAATGATCTTTGATTCAATTTGACTTCTCGCATTGAAGTGGACGATTAAAATCTCGTGCTATGTGGAACTCAAAAGCCTATGACCATATCTGGCCAAGTGTGAACTTGAAAGGAGAAATTATCAAATACAATGAATAGTTCTTGTTTTCTTGCCTCTGAATAATTCAATAGGTACGACAAGATATCAATCAATAGTCCCTTTCCAAACTAAAGTAGAAAAACAAGAGAGCAATTTTTTTCTCTGGAAATTACACTGAACAAATATCACGGGGGATGTCGACAATATTGTCAAATTTACATTTGTTTGGATTTAAGAAAAAAAAAAAAAGAATGAATCGCATCCTTAGCGGCCCCCACTGCCCTGTCCTGGGACTTGGTGAAGGAGGTAAATCGCAGGTTATGCTTCTAATGGTACAGTGTGGAAGGTTGCTTGTACACTTGCACTTACCCAATGGCCAAATTCATATTTCAGAATTCGAACCCTTGACGCAACAGTCTCAAGAGAAGTTGAGGTTTTTTCACCTCCCCCTTTTGCCACTTGGATTTTAAGAATAAAAGTAAAATGGGGAAAAGTATTAAACGAATTGCTATACTCGTGTTCAACTATTAGAATCGAAAAGACACCATTACATCTGGTATATTTTGGAAGTATATAATACTCAAATTTACTTTCTACTTTTCTCCCACTATCTAGAGTCTAGCCAAGCCTAACCACCCAAAGGATACTTTTCAAATGATATACTCAAATGTTAATAACGTATAAAAAAAATTTGTCACTAGCTTATCAATATTTTAAAAGATGGCATATATTTTATAATAACGTGTTCGGTATGATAAACTAATAAAGAAGATTAACGATTGTGTCTTAATTATTTTCATATCAAATTATTCGTTACTACAACGCAAAGTCGTAAGTGCACGGGATGTGAAAACGTTGTAAACTGACGAGGAATATCGAATCTCACAAAGATTGTTCTATTTGTACTTGAGTGAATTAAAACTAGTTTGATTCAACTGTCAAATAACACCCACAAATAAAATAGGCAAATTTGTGGGAAAACTTTGATGATCGAGGTTTGGGGATCCGTGATTTCGCTTATCCTTCATTTACTTTATTTTGCAATGAGTATTTATATCTCTATCTCGATTAATAACACAATCAATAGTGTGCAGATGTTGAGAATCACCAAACGGGTCACCTAGAATGATAAATATATCTCTCTTTGCAAGAACCTAAGATGATTGTCGTCGGGTCTAAAATGCACGAATCACCTCTTGGAGATTATACAAATCAGTAACCGTTTGTTTATTGATCAAGCAAATGAAGCAATTAAATAATAGCCACATCATAAAAATGGGTAAAATTGAACTAAGGTTAAGCTACATCATTCATTCCGAGATATTATAAATTAGCCCATCATGTAAGAATCCGTCACTTAGAGGGTTTTATGGAGTAAAATTGAGCGTCTGATCTTATTTTCTCCTTAAATTCTCTCCAACAATTCCATTTACTTTCCTCTTGTTCTTTCCTCTTTGGAGCCTCCAAATTTTTTTCAAAATCCACCCTCTATTATAAAGTGGTCTTTTTGCCTTGGAATGTGGACAAATTTGCAGTTCAAAATCTGACCAAAATGTCACAAGAAGGCTCTTTTGACGGGCAGCTCTCACCAACGAGCTCTATTTTATTGGGTTTATTAATTTGTCATGTGGATCTATATATATAATTAATTGTGTATAAGGTTATCTTAAGCTTGAACTCAATTAAAGTAATCTAATAAAAAATTAAATTATTGGGTTAGAGCATCTAAATAAAATGTGTGTCGTATTATATGTTTAGAGAACGGTTCCATTATGATTGTATTTGTTGATGGGTCAAATACATATGAAAACTATAAATACGGTTATGGTCCCCAATTTATATAAAATTTCTCATTCATCACATCTCATCAATACAAGAATACAAAAGAAAGTATATTAAAAACCCACAATTAAGAGCAATGATTGAAAAAATCAAGAATCAAGAAGAAGGATTGAAACAATAGCCCTAAAATTCAAAATCAAGAATTATTGAGAATTTAATTTCAGAAGTTTTGAATTTTTTTTTTTTTTTGGAAAATTGGGTTTCTGAGGTTTTTTTCTCGGAATCAAGAAACAAATTTTGTTTGATTAAATGATACAAAAATTTGACTTTTGCTCAGTTTTTATATGAGAAACAATTAGGCAGCCTACTTCTTTGTTTTTTTTTTTTTTTTT